CTGTGATGACTGATGATGATTGTATAATGCTGGCTTAAGTATGGCTTTGCTGTCCCTGCATTCATTAACTGACTGTGTCGGTAATAGTTTGTTAACTGTTTTTTTGTTTAAATGCTTGTTGTACAACCTTTTGATTGTTCGTGCAGCTAAAACACTCATCCTTTCCTATATTAATAATATTATTACTGCATGATCAGACTTAACGCTTTAAAACCATTACAGAACCACAGAAAAGGCCTTGTTGCAGTCATCACTGTTTTGTTGTATAGAAGCATATTTTATTAAATACATGAATATCTAACTTATAACATTTTATACAATGTGGCTCCTCCAGCATTGAGTTTATCAGAGTAAACAGAAAAGAGGAAGAAGAAGAGTCTTTTTTTCTTTGAAGGCAACAGTGGTGCTCTAGAAACATTATTATCAGAGAGCAGAACACACACAACACTTTAAATGTCAATTTAAAAAATGGCTGATAATCTAATAATACACAATGAGATGCTTTTACCCTCCTGCTTGTTTGTTTTCATCCTTATGTTGATAATGTGAAATGTTTTTAGGTTGCTTTTAAAAATCTGACCAGGGACTATGGATGAAAGTCAGCCCGTGACTAACTGCAGTGCATTCACAGTAATGTATATTTTCATTCACACATTTTCATCGTGTTGTTTCCTTCGGTTTATTTGTCAGTTGTCTGGACTTTCACAGGGAAGAATAGCTGTGGCTGTGGATCGAAGTAAAAAAATATTTAACCTCAAAGATCTAAATAGTACATTCATGGTAGCTTTTTAAAATAGTTTATTAATGACTCACCTCAGTATCTCTTAACTACTGAGGAGGCACATTTCCTGACGTGCTGACAAGCCCCCAGCAGCTCTGACTGCTCTCCTAATACATTAATCCTCTAAGTAAACAGTAAGGCTACCCCAACATAAACAGACTAAAAGAAATCTGTTAAAACTGTGAAGACTGCATACCCTGGTCCCTTATCTGCCTCTTACCTCCCCACCCTTCCTCCGCCAACCATTCACTGTATCAGCACAAACATCTAAAAAAAAACAACACTGTTGTTCAAAACTCTTCCTTTTTAAAGTGCTGACGGATGTAAGAAGTTTTAGTTTTGCTTAATCTTTATAAGACTTTCTTTTTTCTTTTTTTACCCCCCCCCCCCCTTGAGCCTTAAATCAATCAATCA